CCCCCCCCCTTACCAATCATCCTCACAACTGGCAAAAAGGATGCTTCCTAACAAACATGCTTAGATCTGTTAATAGAACTATATAGGAAGGCCACCTCAGTTACTCATACGCATGTGCTTCTGCATTCTATAGAGACAAGCTGCGCACAACCTGCCTGGAATCAAAGGTCCCATTTTACACAAGTCATCTTAAGCTCAATTTACCTCCAGCTGTCTCAAGTAGTTGTAGATATCCATGACATACTCGCTGCAAAGCTGTGGGTTACCACCATCGTCCACATCAATGTCTTCTACATGGTTTAGAACCTCGGAAAAAGCTTGACACAGTTCCTCTTCTCCTTTCATTGACACGTCCATAGGAACTGGTGAGGCTTCCTTGCAAGGACCACATCAGAAAGTCAGTATCCCAACTATAAAACCCACACCAAATTGCCTGCTTTCTTTAGTCAGATCTCTTATGAGTGTCACTTATTTTAAAAGGAACACATTTAATATTTGTGCCCATTCACTACAATGCACAGTTGCTAGTGGGTTACCCAGCAAAGTGCTAATGGACCAGTCCAGGCACACCAGGTTACTTTAGAAATTTACAGTGATAAGTAACATTTCAGTTCTATTGGCACAGCATGGTGAGAGGCAGTTATACTGATCCCATCCCACTGCATGCAATGCAGTAATGTGAACTGAGCCCATGCAAAATATGGCAAATTGCCATGTCTTTCATTGGGGCTAGACAAAAAAAAAAAAAAAAAGACCCAGAGCCCCGACATATCAGGTGTGAATCCAGCATTAACCTTATGAGCTTTTCAGCCTAACACTTACTTTTGGGGGAGCTTCAGGTACAGCCTTTGTCTTAACTGTAACATTTGAAACTTTGGCAGTAACAGGCTTTGTTGTCTTTGACACGGCATTAGAGTTCTGTAAATAAAACATCGGTAATCAAAAGTCATTCATGACCTTCCCTTTAAGTCTACGTATAATTTGGGTATTCTGTACCTTAACTGCAGGCTGCTTTCCACCTCGCACTGTCACCTTGTTGCCTATTTCTCCCAGAGCAGCTCTTCTACTATTCAGCTGGGCTTTTAATCTCATTGCTCCTACAACAGCATTGTCTGCTTCACGTGAAATCTAAAGAGAAAAGAAAGAAAGTTACAATAGTACAAGTGATTTTATGTTCTGGACAGACAATCTCTGGTCTTCTGCATGAGTCAGACCAAAATAAAGCCCCAATTGTCACATTTATCCTTTATGTCAGCAACATTTACCATTTGTTAACACCTTCACAACCCATGAAGGGATAATCCTGTCATGAAGTTTGAAGGTGTTAAACAGAAAGGCCACTGGGAGTCCGTTCAATTTTGTAGAGGTGGCGGGTTTTACAGTAGAAACTATTCCGGCGGCTCAGCTGCCGCCAGATCGCTTCCACGATCCGTTGACGGGATCTGCACTTCCAATAGCTTGTTTGGAGTGTAAAGGTGACACCAGGGTCTTTAAGACCCCAACCACCACCACCTTAAAAGAGTACCTGTTACTGCCAATATGCTATCACATGGGGGGCTTGTAAGCACCGCCATGTGATAGCAAGAAAAAAGTTGTAAAAATAAAAATGTTTAATGTCCCCTGCAAGCACGCGCATCACCACAAACATGCTTTGGGTGAAGCAACGTATGAAAACGACAACTACACTTGGGTATCGCTGTGCATGCTAGAGCAATAATTCTAGGGCCAAAGCTTACACGCATCTCTAAACTGATGACCTGTAGGGGCTTTTAGAACATCTATGAACTTTTTGGGGTTCTGAATTCTGTTGGTTTTACAGACGTACACCATTTAACCTGGGCTTGTTGGGCATTTATTTACTTGTAATCTCATCTTCTATATTTCACAAAAAAAAAGTTTTATATTGTGTTTTGGTAATTTTAGTAAATTTAACTTAAGTGCATGTTTCACTAAATGTTTTGATAATATAAAAAAAAAAAAAACTGCCACCATTTTATTCTACATGGTCTTGGCTTTCAGAAAAATCTAATGTTTGGGGATTTTAAGTAATTTTCAGGGCTAAAAAGTAGATTACATGGGTGCAAAAAATGCCTCGGTCCTTAAGGCATTACCAGCTCAAAGCCAAAACTTGTTTATATTAATATTTGGAAGGAGGCTTGTAATGAGGTTAAAGATGCCATTGTGCATTATCGCTGAAAATTCAAGCTATAGTTTAGCATCTGGAACATACAGCAAGTCAGAACCACGCACACTAGCCCTATGTAATCAACTCAAGTATTAGGGTCTGTTCACACCCAATTATAGCATTATCCACATACCATGCCATTAACACAACACCTAGGGTTTTACTGTGCACTTGAGCATGGTCACTCATCTGAAAGGCACCCCAACACTGCAGCATAATGCATCGTGCTGCAATATCATGAATTGCATGCACTACTTTCTTCCCCATCGCACTAAAGCTGCCCACACACCTTACAATTATCTGCAGATTTTCTGTGGTCAGATGGAAAAGGTGCAACAGATTTCCTCCATCTGTAATCTCCACCTGGGCCAATCTGTTGCACTTTCTCCATCTCACCACAGAAAATCTGCAGATAAATGTAAGGTGTGTGGGCACCTTAATGCATGCTGCACTTCAGCCAGCAAGTGCACTGGATTGCCAGTCAAATGTACGGCAATTCAAGGGATCTCTATAGGCGTGTGGTGCAATAGCATGCATTAAATGCACAGTATCATGCCATTAACTCTACTTATGTGGGGAGAGGCCCTTGAAAAGACACTAAACTTGAGCCAAATCTTAAATGCATTCAAGTTCCCTAACTATTAGGTGACAACTCCCCCCCCCCCCCAGCACTTTTCATAAGCCCTCTTAATCATATTTTCAAAAAAAACAAGAAAAAAACATCACAAGGTTAGCTTTTTTTCAGCTGTAAGAGTGTTCCGAATGCTCCTGCCGCTCCTCTGTTCCCCTTAGACTTCCAGCCCCAAAGCTCCAGAAGTGCATACCATTTCTGTCCATGCACACTGCTCTCCTTGACTACATGTCCCATAAGGAAGCATGCACAGTGCTTCCACATCTAATCACCAACTACCTCACTGGTCCCTCCATACCCAAACCAGCAGGCGAGATGTGAGCATTTCATGTTCTCAGCAGGGAGAAAGCACACAGGGTGGCTACTTTTCAGCATCAATAGGGACCATGGAGAAAAAAAAAAAAAAGCCATCCTCTGACAGGAAGAAAGTTTTTTTAAAGCAGTTACAATAATTGAGCTAGTTCAATATTAAATTCTTAAATAGAACTTGGATTTACTGTGAGAGTCAAGTAACACTAACAAAAATTTTGCTTATTTGTGTATTATTCAGCTGGAGACCTTCAAATCATCTCTAAAATGGCACTGACACTGTCCTTCTAGGGGGTGGCTACTTTTGTTCCCCATGGCCCCTCTGTGTTGTAAGGTAGCCACCTCTTCAAGCTCACTCCCATGATGGACTACAATATGTTAAGTTACTCATTTGTATTGAGATTGAAGTCCATCACAGAAGAACAAAAGTAGCCACCCTCCAGATGGAAGGACAGTGTCAGCACCAATTCAGAGATGATTTGAGAAACTACAGCTGAGTGATACACAAGATACATTTTTGTTGATCGTTAAAAAAAGGCACTTTAATTTTTAAGATTAAACTCCAGAGTTTAGGGTCACTTTAAAGCCAGTCAGGCAAGTAGCATATTTAACAAGGGACTAGGGGGTTTATAAATGGTAGCTGCCCATCTGACTACAAGTTCATTAAAGGGAGGAGTCCTGCCTAAAGCAGGTATCACAAGACACCCCATTGGTCAGAAAAGGCTCCCAAGTGCCTCTGAAACTAGCTCTCATCAGGAACCAGACTTCCACTTGGGTCATATATCACACAAAGTCCCTGAATTGTGGTATGCATGTTAAGGATGCACCACCACTTGCAATACTGTGTTGGGTGGCACCAGCTCATACCAATGACTAGAAGCATTAGACTTCAACTGATCATAGTACAATCTCAATACGAGTCACCATACTTACGGAAGTACAGGCTATGGACAAAGCCTGACCAGCTAGTCTCTGTGCAGTGATAGCACCCTGGTGGACCTACAGCAAAGTGAAATCTGTACTATAAGGAAAGCCATGGGCTCAGCATGCAAGGCAAACAGACCGATGGCTTCAGCGACAGGCCTGAGAACTGTTCACTATATTCCAATGATGTTTTCTGTAAGGCAGACTTTACATGAAGGTGCAGTCCTAGGAAGAACCAGACACTTCCGGCACACAACACTAGGGGCCCAAGCTTGGTAGGCCCCGATAGCCACCATTCACATTAAAGTTAGCAGCATGAATAGAGTAATAACAGCATCGGGAAACCAACTGCACCGCTTGAACCCACACCTCCTTGTTATAGCAGAGAACAATCAGGACTGAGGATAGCTAACATATTAGGTGAGCACATCACGTAGATATAACGATCTCCATAGACAGCAAGATCCACTAGCATAGGCTGCGAAGCAGATCGTAAAACTGCATTTGGGCCATAACTCCACCACCCGATCACTTGAGGCCGCCTAAGACACAGCCGCACTAGACCACACCGAACAAAAACAAAGCAACAAATACACGGATAACTTACAGCAGCCCGGCGGGTAGCCATGAGTACTGGATAGAGACGTTATGCGTGATCCGCCACCAAACACGTTCCCAGATCTCCTCTCACAGGAATACTACACAGTCTGCTATCCAAAACCCAACAATGATTTTAAATGTCGCTCCTCGCTTGCCTATTGGTCCGCTCTCAGCATGTGCTCGCCGCTCATTGGCTGAGCGCTCTCGGTCCCCGGTGTTGCGCAGTTGCCGAGGACGGTTGCGCTCTTTTTAGCCGTTGATTGAACGCCTTTGGGCCAATGATATGTATGTGAGGCGAAACTAATATTCCGTGTTCACATGCACAATTCTAATGTGTGAACTTTTCATAGAAATTTACTTTACTGCTAACTACATCGCGAGTAGTCAGTGAGCGATGCATCATGGGAAATGTAGTTTGCGTCCTGTAGCACCGCCCATATTTTCGTTCAGGGATTGGTTGACGTGTGTGTGCGTACCCGTTGTTGGACTACAATTCCCAATATTTCCTGGTGTAGGAACGTTGGTGTGATGGCAGGCAGCCATTTTGGCAAAGGAATGATGCTCACGGTTAGATGAGTTAGTGAAAGGTGTCGGAGACAAAACTATCCTCAACTGGAGCGCATCAAATCAGCTTGTACATTTGCACCTTTGTGGGGAAAAATGAAAGATAGAAGCTAATTGGTTGCTATAGAGAAGTACACCAGCGTGTGTGCTCCGGCTTGCCATATTGGCTGCTTTGTAATGGAGTGAAATGAATATGGGAAAATATCTTTTTTTTAGCAGTTAGAACCTGTACCGATCAACAATGCCAGCAATTTAACTGCGATTTGTAGCCATTGATTTCACGGCTGCTGAATTGCAGCTGTTACTACTAGTACTATATCACTAGGTAGACATGCTCTGTTACAGATCACACTGTGTAACCCATTGTCAGCCATAAGGCCTTGTTCACACCAGGGCTTTTTGTTGTGCGGTTTTTTTTTCCGCGCTTAAATGCCTGCAATATAAAATCCCATGTATTTCTAAGGGGGTTGTTCACACAAACGCAATGAATGTCAAAATACGCCTGGTGATTGAAATAGTCCCTGAGCTTCTTTTGTGGCACTTATCAGCCCGCTTTGCTCCATAGACTTAAATGGAAACGCGTCGATAAGCGCATATTTTAGCACGTTTTTGCAGCTGAGACTGCTTTTCACTGGCATACGAGCTGAAAACACTATTGCTTATGAACAGAAAAGGAAACACGCATTAAAAAACGCACAAATACACACTAAAAAAAACTGTATGCACATTTCTTTTAACCTGCACTGGACCGCAGGGCATTGCAGTACCGTGCGGGCGATAACACTGCGGACGGGAGGTGCATTTGGGATCAATTGAAATGAATGGCACCGCAACACACCTACAGAAATTTTTGTCAGGCCGAAACTGAAAATGACTTTACCCATCTTTTTATTTCAATATATATCTATATAATGTTATTTTAAATGTATGTATTATATTAGACATTTTAATTCGTTTCATGGATTTAAAATAATGTGATTTGGAAAATCAATATAATAAAATAAACAAACTTTTATTTAAAATAACACCATTTTTTTAATTTTAGTTTATTTAACTGTATTTTTTGTTATTTGTTTGCATTTTTAATTTTTACTTAACTGTTTTTTTACTTTTCTTTTAAAATTTTGTAGTCTTTTTAATTTTAGTTAATTTAACTTCATTTTTTTTACTTTTTTTTTGTGTTTTACTTTATTTTATTATTTTTTTACTTTATTGCTAGGAGCAATAGCCAGCCTGCTATTGGATATTTCAAATTGCAGTAGCCAATAACAGGCTGGCTATTGTACGCGCCAACTGCCTGCTGTCAATCAGCAGAGGAGGGACCTTGAAGGAGAAAGTTCTCCATCAGGTCCTCCTCTGCTGAGTGACAGCTTGTAGTAGGCAGGTGCAATAGGCTATTGCATTTTAAAATATCCAATAGCAGGCTGGGTATGGCTCCTGGCCTCTAGATGTCGAAGAGGAACGCGGAGGCACGGGGTACAGGCGGAACGGGGTGGGGCATAGGCGGAACAGGGTCGGGCTGAAGATGAAGGGGCGTGGCTTAGAAGGAACAGGACGGGCCAGTGGAGACAAGTGGCGGCAGAGAAGGAACGAGGCATCAGTGAAGGTACGCAGAATCACCACAGTCTCTTCTCCCCGCTGGTGCCGACTGCAAACGCGCTACAAAACGGCCTACGCCTGAAAAGGTACATGAGCTTCTTTGCAGCTTTTTTGTCGCCCGTTTGCATTGGGATACAGCCAAGTAGCCCTCGGAATCGCGTGACAAACACGCATATTCGATACACCTAGGTGTGAACAGAGCCTTAGTCTTGCGATGGTTGTAAAGTAATTTAAAAAACGTACGATCTGCCCATCTTGGACAGGCAGATCGTACTTGCGATCATCGCAATGCTTAACGACCGATGACCGCAATGCTGAACGGGCGTGCGCACACCGGCCCGTTTGGCATTTGTCTCCGAGCATGCCACAAACCAGCCGAAAATCGTAAGATTTTCGGCTGGTTTTCTAGCATGCTCCTTAGACAAATGACGTGCGATCGTACAATAGAAACGGTCGCACGTCTTTATTCACACTGCACGATTCTCGTACGATCGCGGGATGTCCCGCAATTCTCGTAGGAGAATCGTGCAGTGTATGGGCACCTTTAGTGGGGCACTGACCTTGACACTTTGTACAGCGTATGTGGTTAGCTGCAGGATGCTCTACAGATCCAGGACCACAGTCCATTTAGGGGGGGCAGTGACCCCCAAAGACCTTCCTGGGGAGAAAAGTATGTCCACCAGAACGGCAAAGCTCAGATGTCATGTCTCCCCTAACTGCTGCTGCATTTGTTCTTAAAGGAGAACTATGAGGTGAGTGCTTTTCACTCACCTCATAATCTAGCCGACCTGTGACAATGAGACTGTCGCAGGTCGGCTCAGTAGATCGGGAAGTGAGCGAACACATAACGGTGTTCGCTCACTTCTCGATCCTGTCATGGCTCTCTGCCGTGACAGGGGAGGGGCTGTATTCCCTCCGCTCCGATCCACCAGCGCTGACTGGTGGAACGGACGGGGGAGGGGGCGGGTACAGCTGGCTCTGCCTCTAGATAGGCAGAGCCAGCTGTCACTCACGCAGCTGGGCGGATCCCGTCATCTAAGTCGGGATCCGCTCCGGCTGGGGCGTCTCAGTATACCGCGAGCTGTAGCTCGCGGTATACTGAGCTTAGGGTAACGGGAGGACGCTAGTTTGTGTCCTCCCGTTACCCTAAGGAGAACTATGGGGAAAAGCCCTGGCCCCATAGTTCTCCTTTAAAGCTGAATCACTACAAAGAGTGCGACACAAAAACAGCACTGGAGCCACCTATTGAACCCTGTAGTGTACTGGGCTACTTGCCTGGACACCTGGTGGGCATTGCCACAGGTTACCTAACAGATTTGATCTGTTTGGTTCAAGGCTATGGCTAGGGACCCTGGGTCTATCTTGACTTTTACAAGTGGGGGGAATTTTTAACACTCTGGGTTGAGGGATATGTATGACACCTGGGTTGAGAGTGTTGTCAACAAAGGCTACAGACTGGAGTTTTCCTCAATGATTCCTCATTTCCTGATATCCAATATGCCCACAGTTCCTTAAAGGCAGGCTCTAATTCAGCTCCTTTCCTAGGGGGTCATAGTCCTCGTTCAGAAGGAAGAAATGTTCCAGGGATTTATCTCCAATCTGTTCACTGTACAAGGAAGAGGTTTGCCCTATCTTAGACCTGAAGATCCTCAACCAGGTTCCAAAATTCCAAATGGAATCCACCCTCTCTGTCATGGTTTTCTTTTCACCCAGGAGATTTACTGGCCTTAGGCCTGGTCACACCTGGGCGTTTTGTAGCGCGTTCGAACGCTCTGCAAAACGCTCAAACACCGAAATCCCATTATTTTCTATGGGTATGGTTCACACCTGGGCGTATTACAGGCCGTATGAATGCGCTACAAAACGCCCTACGCCCAAAGAAGTACAGGAGCTTCTTTGGGGCGTTTTTGTCGCGCGTTTCCATTGGGATACAGCCAAGTAGCCCTCGGAAATGCGCGTTTGTCGCGCGTTTTTTTTTACCACCAAACGCGCATATTCGATACGCCTAGGTGTTAACCCAGCCTTCTTATAGTGCACATGTGTCAAACTCAAGGCCCAGGGGGCGAATCCGGCCCACCAGGCCATTTCCTAGACTTCTACTTTCAGATCTAGGTATTAAGTTATTACTAAAACCAGTGATAATCGAATGCAGAGGCAATTATGATAAACATTAGATACATTTATATAGTCTTACAGGCCTTTGAGGGCAACCATAATGATGATGCGGCCCACGATTAAATTGAGTTTGACATCCCTGCCTTAGTGGACATCAAGGATACATATTTACTAGTGATGTCCCGATACTGATACTAGTATTGGTATCAGGGCCGATACAGGGCATTTTCACAATTACTTGTACTGGTGCAAATGCCCCGATACAGGCTCTTCAAAGAGCGGCTGCTGGGGACCTCGTGGCTGCTGTCTTTGGCAGCGCCGGTCTTATCCCACATCTCCTCCTCCTTCCCGGCACCTGCAGAGACCAGCACAACACTGTACAGCCCAGGAGCCTGGAATGAGCCTGTCACCCACCCATTCAGCCCTGGATAGCCCGACACACCCCCGGAGAGCCTGGCACCTGACGCAGAGCCCTGGGGAGCCCGGCACCCACCTGTACAGCCCTAGGCAGACCCACATGCAGCCCTGCTTAGATCTGCATGCAGCCCAGATGCGACCTGAACACATCCCTGTATAATTGCTTTATAATCATAGATTGATGGGATCTGTAGTCCTCTATTGCTGGTTGCCATTCTCTATTCCTGAGTATTCATGGATTGCTGAGATTTGTAGTCCTTTATAGCCAGTTGCCATTTTCCATTGCTGTAAAATCAATGATTGTTGCTCTTCTTTTTGGTCTGTCCACTCCTCCCAGGGTGTTCACTAAGGTGCTGGGCCCTGTTTTGG